GAGAAGTGGTGCCTCGATGCGCACCCGGGATCCGAACCCGGGCCGCCAGCATCGCAGCGCGCGCACTTAACCACCAAGCCACAGGGCCGGCCCTGAGCTGGTTTTCAAGAATAAAAGTTTCTTGGGGCCGGCCCTGTGGCGTAGCGGTTAAGTGCACGTGCTCTGCTGCTGGCAGCCCGGGTTCGGATCCCGGGCGCGCACCAATGCACCGCTTGTCAGGCCATGCTGTGGCAGCGTCCCATATAAAGTAGAGGAAGATGGGCACAGATGTTAGCCCAGGGCCAGTCTTCTCAGCAAAATGAGGAGGATTGGCATGGATTGCTAGGTCGGGGCTAATCTTCCTCACCAAAAAAAAAAAATAGATCTTATATATATATGCCCATATACAGCAACTAGAAGGATGTGCAGCTATGACATACAACTATCTACTGGGGCTTTGAGGGGAAAAAAAAAAAAAAAAAAGAATAAATGCTTCTTAATTTGTTGTCTGACTTGGGCCAATTTCCAGAGCCCTGAAATGGTTGTTGGTAACGATTCTGTCCAGTTCCAGCATTGTTTTCTGTTGGAGAGGACGTGCCCACCCCTCCCAGCTGGCAGTCCTGCACATACTCAGTTACAAAGTGAAGTGTGTACAGGGTTCTGCCCCCAGGTCAGAAGAGACTCACTTCCGCCTCCTGTGCATCTGCACCTCTGGTCTCAGAATGACTCTGAGGGCCATGGCAGGGGCCTCAATCCTTGAGAATCATGGAAAAAAAAAAAGAAAAAAGGAAAGCAAAACTATGTTCATTGCACTTAGCACTCAATAAAGTGGACTCCTGTGGTTCCGCGATACTAAAAGGAACAAGTTTTTCCATATAACTTTCAATTCTGTTCATAATCCTAAGGGTTTGTGCTTGCACCTCTGCCTTGGCCAAAAATATAGAGAGAGTAGATGAAAAGTGAGAAACTCCTGTAGCAATCTGACCTTGACCTCCACGCTCTGCCCTCCCATGTGACCAGGGGACTGCCTCCCCCAGTCCGGGTATTGTCCGCACCACACACCAGTCTTTTGTGGCAGGAGCTGTGTGCTCGTCTTACACAGCAGAGCCACACCGCAGCCTGGTTAGTTTAGCCGGCTCTGGTCCCAGACATTCCATCTGGAGGCTGGCCTCAAGACATTCCTCCTGCCACCTTGGTGTGGTGGGCGCAGCTTCCCGGCAACCGCGGCTCCTGCAGAGCTGACACAGAGTGGCTCTAGGGAGGGCTGCAAGGACCCGGGAAGGTGCCGCTGGAGTCCCGAGCAGGGCCTGCTTGTGGCTGGGCTCTTCCCCAAGAACAGAAAGGATAACTGCAGCAGAAAAGGGTTCCTCAAGAATGGGAAGGACTCTAAGCTCAACTCAACAATCCACATTCGACTTTCAAATCAGAAAGAAGTGGTGAAATAGATTCTGCTTTGTATTCAGAAAAATGACTACAGACAAAAACCGCAGGGTCCTCACAGCACCTTTGCTGCAGAACTTCTGTCCAGGTCACACCATTTGGAGAGCAATCGCCAGCGGGTTCTTACCTCCTTACTACTGTTAACGATGAGAGGTGGTTTACGAATGTCCTTAGTCTGGGTCCACGTGCTTATGTTCAGAGATCCCTTGTAATTCATCCTACTTCTGTCACTCACTAGTTGTGTGACCCTGAGCAAGTCATTTAACCCTGAGCAAGTCTTGAGTCTGTTTCTTCACCAGAGAGACGGGAGTAACAATGATGTCCACTCTTCAGGGGTGTTAGGAGGAACGGAGACCAGAGATGCAAGCCCTGTGCGCAGGGCACATAGGCTGCTCGATACGAGATGCCTTCCCACGCAGACCTTCCACAGAGACCACTGTGTGGGGCAACACAGCCACCCTTCCTCCCACCAGCTCACGCGTCACTGAAGACAGACACGGGCTCCATTCACCCAGCTCAAATTCCAGGCCGAGATTTAAAAAGTGGAAATAAAGTTTGGGGACAATTCCTCTGGCCCTCTGCCGGGCACTGCATCTGCAGAGCCCCTTCTCAGGAGCCACGGCCTGCCCCAGCTGCCATGCCTTAGCTGCACTGCGTTTACATTTCTGAAGGAGAGAGAGTCTCGCCGCATCTGAGTTACAGTAGTCCACAGCTCATGAAGCAGGAACTTCAAGGTCCTTTTTACAGGATGAATCAAACTACTTCATACACAGCAAACTTCATCATTCACATCAGAACTTGGACACCTCTGTTTCCTCCCCCAGCACAGCTTTGCACTGAAAACAATACACAGCAAGGGGCAACACACAGTCAGTGCGAGCAGCCAGTGTGGTTTATTTGATCTCCTTCCTGTTGCCAGAGGAGGCTCTTGCAGGGGCTGGGATTGGGCGTGTGCAGGGCGAGGGTCCAACTAGCCTCCACGGAGGGAAGTCAGGCGCACACGGGCCCTATGCCAGCCCCAGGTCCCGTCCTGATTACTCTCCAGGTGGCTCCACTCAGCATGAGGCAGAGTTTGAGGGTGGTGGCTTCCTGGGAGCCCCTGCCCGACGCCTTGCTCCACCCGGGGCAGCAGCACGTCGTCCCCGGCCCATGGGGGAGCGGGCCGGCACAGGGAGGCTGACTCAGCAGCGGTGGGGCTGAAGCGCCATCCTGATGCCAGCGGCCAGGGCTCTCGGCGTGGGGCTCTCTGCGGTGCAGCTCACAGGCAGGCCGTGGGCGGCCAGGGCACGAGCTGTGGTGGGGCCGATGGCTGCAAACTGCAGAGAGAAGAGGGGAGGGGCCTCAGCGCACAGCAGGGCTGGGGGAAGCAGGAGGGCAAGGTGTGCAGGGCCCGTCGGACACCCTGTCTGTTAGGACGTCGCTCCTGACGTGAGAGCTTATAAATGTGACATCTCCTGACTTGAACCTGGCTTTATAGCCTGCAAAATGCCTTCCCCTTCATGAGCTCATTACAGCCTCACCAGCAGCCTGCGCGAGATCTCACGATCCCTGCGGCTCGGGTGGGTGGCAGGGACCTGAGGCCTGCCATCTTGGCTGCGTTCTCGGAAGCCTCAGCTGCCTACAGTTCTCTGCCTCATGTCTCGGGGCCCTGGGTGGGGTCAGGTGGAGCACAGAACAAAGTCTAAGGAGCTCTGGGTGTGGCAGGGGCGGTGGCTGGACCCCCAGGAAAGCAGAGCAGTCAAGACCAGGGCCTGGAGCCAGAGGGCTGGGTTCAAATCCCAGCTCCACAGGACGGTGGCCATAGCAAGTGACCCAGCCTCTCTGGGCCTCTGTCCCCTCACTCATATAACAGAAAGGTTAACAGCCTTCCTCGCTGGGCTGTGCGAGGATTAAATGAGGCAACACGTGTGACCACTTGGCCCAGTGCCCAGCACAGATAAATGCTCAGTGACTGTCACTGGCTGCTGCTTGTAGGATTATCATTATTCCAGATTAGAAATCCCGATGGCCTGGGCCTCGTCAGCAGGACCCTCTCTCTGAACAAGCACATTTGAGGGTCATATCCAGAGCCTTGCTTCGGGCTGACATGATTTTTTGTCGTGACTCTGGCCCTTGCTAGCTGTCACTACAGGTCACCGAGCCTCTCTGATCCTGTTTTCTCATCTGTAGAAGGGGCACAATTATCCCTGCCTCACAGCACTTGCGTCGGGGTGAAACGAGAAGACTGACAGCTCCTGGCAGAGAGAACACACTCATTTCCTGCCTCCCCACCCCCAGATGAACACCGTGGACGATGCACCTGTGTGGGAATGGTCTGTGAGGTGAGCACGCCGACATAAGCAGCCTCACCCAGCCCCTCTGCACCCTCCCTCCCCAGGCAGGCTGGTGTACAGTGCACAGTACAGCCTCTGCACGTCAGGAGGCTGCAGCCTGCTGCTCCTCCCCAGGGCACATCAGAATGAGAGGAAGAAGGCTGCTGTCCTACAGAGGCCCCCCCCACTCCACCCTGTGAAGCACCCACTCCTCAAGAAACTCAGAGAAAAAGATGAAGTTAGACCCCTACCTCACACCATACACAAAAATTAACTCAAAATGGATCAAAGACCTAAATGTAAGAGCTAAAGCCATAAAACTAGAGGAAAACACAGGAGTGAATCTTCAAGACCTTGGATTAGGCAATGGTTTCTCAGATACACCACTCAAAACACAAGTAACAAAAGAAAACATAGATAAATTGGTCTTTATCAAAATTAAAAAACTTTTGTGATTCAAAGGACACCATCAAAAAAGTGAAAAGACAGCTCACAGAGTGAGAGAAAATTTTTGCAAGTCATATATCTGATAAGGGACTTGTATCCAGAAAAAAGAACTCTTACAACTCAACAACAACAAAAAGACAAATGGCAAGGATGTGAACAGACATTTCTCTAAAGATGTAAAAATGGCCAATAAGCACATGAAAAGATGCTTAACATCATTAGTCATTAGGGAAATCCAAATCAAAACCACAATGAGATACTACTTCATACCCACTAGAATGGCTATAATCATAAAGACAAAAAAATAGCAAGTGTTGGCGAGGATGTAGAGAAATGAGATTCCTCATATATCGCAGGTGGGAAGGCAAAATGGTACAGCCACTTTGAAAACAGTTTGGTAAAATGTTAACATTAAGTTACCATATGATCTGACAATTCTACTCCTAGGTATATACCCAAGAGAAATGAAAACTTATGTCCACACAAAGTTTTTTTTTTTTTTTTTTTTGTGAGCAAGATCAGCCCTGAGCTAACATCCATGCCAATCCTCCTCTTTTTGCTGAGAAAGACTGGCCCTGGGCTAACATCTGTGCCCATCTTCCTCCACTTTATATGGGACGCTGCCACAGCACGGCCTGACAAGCGGTGCATCGGTGCGTGCCCAGGATCCGAACCTGGGCCACCAGCAGTGGAGCGTGCGCACTTAACTGCTACGCCACCGGGCCAGCCCCCACACAAAGTATTGTATTCAAATGTTCAGTGTTATTCATAATAGCCCAAAAGTGGACACAACCCAAATGTCCATCAGCTGATGAGTGGAAAACGAAAGGTGGTATATTCATAGAATGGACCACTATCTGGCAATAAAAAGGAGTGAAGTACTGACACATGCTACACCACGGAAACCGTGAAACCATCATGCTGAGTGAAAGAAGCCAGTCACAAAAGACTGCATACTGAATGACTCCATTAATATGAAATGTCCAGAACAGGCAAATCCATAGACATGGAAAGTAGATCAGTGGCTACTGGGGCTGGGGGCGTGGGGGAAAGAGGAGTGACTGCTAATGGGTACAGGGTTTCTTTTGGGGTGATGAAATGTTCTGGAATTAGATGGTGGTGATGGTTGCACAATTCTTTGAATAAACTAAAACCCACTGAATGATACACTTGAAAAGTGTACATATTTAATTCATAAAAAGTGAATTTTATGGTACGTGAATTATATCTCAAGAAAGCTGTTTAAAAACAAAAATTAAAAAACAAAGAAACTGCCTGAGACTGGGAACTAGCAAACAGCAACTGTGATTTCAGCAGAAGCAGTGTGGTCACAAAACGATTTTCCCACCTGCGCCTGTTATTCCCTCTCAATCCCTCTGATCACAGGAGGAGGAACATTTGGAGAGTTCCAGCTGTCTGACTCACCGCCACTGGCCTGGCCAGACCCACGGAGCCTGAAGGGCTGGACCAGGGCTGCAGATGGTGCCCTCTGGAGCAGTGGAGTCTTACCCCACACTGGGCCCCTGGAAGCCCAGTGCTAATGTCCTCACTCCATCACTGGGAACCAACCGGGGAGTGAGTGTGCCAGCTCAGGTGTGGGAAGCCGGTAGCCCGGGCTTGGAGCCCAGCTCTGCCACTGCCGGCTAGCCATGATGATGGCCAGTCCAGAGGCCTATGTGCGGGGGGACCGTGAGAAAGTAGGGAACACATCTGGCAGGTAGTAAAGAGGAAAGTCGCCTCTATTAGTTTGGTGGTGGTTACGAATTTGCTCACCTACTGCTTTGTGATGATCCCTGTGTGGCCTTTAGAGACATGCACATGGCCTTCCCAAGTCAACTGTCAGTAGTAAGTTCAGGTCAGAGATCACCCCCTTGACCGTTTGTGGCCCACCTGTAATTTGTGCAGTGCTGTACAAATGGTGGGTCCTATAGACTCCTGGGGAGGCAGCAAGACCACCTGACAAACAGGTGAGACAGGAAAGCCACGCTACCCAATCCAGATCTAGGCCCGTGTCCTCTGTCAACCTGGAAAGATCCTGCCTCAGCCAGTGAAGTCACCGTGATGAAGGACAACTCCCGCTGGGTACACAGCGTCTCTGTGGCTCCCAAACCACCCACAGTAACTGCTGACAGTGCCAGCTCTGTCCTTCGTTCCCGCCCTGGCAATGGCAGAGCTGAGGCCCGGTGGAATCTTAACGACTGGTGGGCGGCACACTGGACTGCTGCAGTAAGAGGTGACCCGGGAGAACCCGAGAGAATGTCTGGAGGTGACAGAAACGTGACAGACTGAAGATGGATACGCTCACCTAGGCCAAGCTGCGGGGCAGTTTGTGGGCGGTGCAGGCAGTAGCTACTCACAGTGGCTCATGTTCTAAGTTCAGACTTCGAGTCTCCATTTGTGCTTTTACAAATGTTCTTTTTTTTTTTTTTTTTT